AACTGGAGGATGAAGGGAAAAGATTAATATCCGTGAATTCAAATAATTTAATTTCAAATACTGAACTTAGAACGTTATATCCGACTAGTTTAAACAGTGATGCAGATAAAATAGCAGAGCCTCGGATGAATGAAGTGGCCGGAAGAATAGAGTTGCGAGGAATGTTAGAAATGAACATTAATACAAACTTTGCAGGAACTTTTTTTTTTTTTTTTTAAATTCCGCACCTTTCTATCTCCTGGAATAATCAGTATTCTAACAGGGCAAAAATGTATATGATATTACAAGCATGTGTGTGTATATCTATATATGCAGGGAGCGAGATTTTCTTTCCTCTGGAGATAGGTGGAGAAATCTATTTAGACGGCGGATTTTAATTTCAATGGGTAATGTGAGCTTGTGCAATCAAAGTTATCAATTTCTGTCCTTTTTGTTTAGATTTCTTAGTTAAATGTGTTTGTTATATCTACCCCGAGGAGAAGCAACTTGAAAGTGTAGCTTTTGAGTCATCTTATAAATACATCCCTGAGGCTGCGGTTCTTGCAGCTTTAAGCAGTTTTCATTAAAGCAGCCAGCTGCCTCTTTGTGTAGATTAGATTTTTTTTAAGCAATCACTTGTGAAGCCCCGGCCTCAGTTTTGTCTCTCCGCAGGCCCTTAAAGTTGAAGTTTCATTCATGTCTTGGGTCTCTCCACCGAATCAGACTCCTTGGAGCAACACTGGAAAGAGCCACACGAAAAGTGCAGGCTTGAATACCTCCTAGAGAAAGGTTAAAAAGGAAGCAGAGATCAAAACAATCCCATCTCACAAAAGGTGCATTAAACGCGCCCCAGCAATAAGCACAAATCTTCCAAGTTGGCCTTTAAAGGGAAGCACCAGGAGCCTCACGTTTATTGCACCCAGCAATTCTCTGAAGCAACTCGCCGCGTCTTTGCACTCCTGGCGCATTTCCTCTTAAAACAACATCTAATGGGAAGATAATAGAGAGAGAGAGACGCAGAAAGGAGGCGCGGGGATTTCCCCCTCCCCACCTCCCCATCACTCCACTCCCCCCTCCCTTCCTTTCCTTTCCTTTTAGCTGCCTATCTCAAGGCTTTGAGACCAGAGTTTTAAAATAAGCTTTCCACCTCTGAACAGATCTGGCATAGGCAATGTATAGATATATTTATATTTATATTATTCCCCCTACAAAGGCACCGGTAAGAGCGGGTGTTCGGGGAGCGCTGCCCCAGCCCCGGAGAGGGGGATGCTGGCGAGCAGCGACCGGGAGCCGAGGCTCGCTGGGAACCAGCCCTGCTCCTGCTTTTCCTGCTGGAAAAGCAGCTTTCTCTCCGGGAATCGAAACGCCAAGGGAGCCCGACGTTTCCCCGAGCCGGAGCCCGGCAAAGGGATAACCCCCCCGGGGGCGGGGGTTGGCGGGGCGTTGGGCTACCGGAGGGCTCCCGGAGCTCGCCAGCCTCCCTCCCTGCGTGCACCTGATGTGTATGCAGCACCTCGCCTCCCAGCCGGGAGAGAGCTCCAGTTAAGTGGCGCTCTATGTATTTTATAGCGAATATTCTCGAGTAGCTGCACCGCAATGAAGGAGATATCAAGGAGGCCTGTCAGTTCAAAGCTTTTGGGGTTGTTTGAAAATCTTCTTCACGTCAAAGTAAGCAGCCCGAGTATTTGAACAGCTGCTTTGAACAGTGAAAAAGGGCTGAGCCTGAATCAAAACACTGCAGTGTCTGCCCAAGACACCGCATCACCTTCAACCTGCTTTTATACCGGCAGAGAAAAGGAAAGAAAGGCTGGTGAGACCTCTAATCCCGCGGGGTCAGCTCCGCCAGAAAGGGGCCACATGACTGTCTCTTTCACATCCCCAGCTCCTCGGACCCGAGCGGGGTCCCCCCGAGCGGGCGGCCGGAGCCGGAGCCGGCGGCGGGGCAAACGGAGCCCGGGCGGTCGTGGGGGGCTCCCTCCCCCTTCCACGGAGTGGTGGGGGGGAAAGATGGGAGAGCGAAGGATGCTTAAGGAGCGGTATTAATGACAGGGCTAACAATGATGGGGAGGACGAGGAGGTGGAGTCTGCGGCGGCTCTGAATGCGCTCCCCGGCTGCTCCCAGCTGCGGCTCCATAGGCGTGCGCTCAGCCGGGG